GCTCTTGCTTTCACATAAACATTGGATGACAGTGTTAGAAATGTGGTGGGGTGAGGGCAAAACAACTTTTTGGAAGACAATTCAATGCCTTAATTTTAATTCCATCTGAAAATTTATGCTTAAACCTAATGATGCTTCATAGCAAACTTTCATTCCTTCTGAGAAACCCACCACTCATGTCTACTGGGAGTTAGACCAGATGCTTTCTCAGTTTCTCAGCAATGGACTAAAACTGATGTTTATATGACTCTGATTCACTTGTTGCATCTTCTCTTTCCAGAATTTACTGCTTTGTTCTCTCCCTTTTCTTGAAGCATTTCTGCTCCCCCCTTTCCCTATTTAAGTTATTTTTTTCCTGTCATTCTTAAAGGAGTTATATTCTTAGTGGTTATTGGAATAGTTGGATGTGGTTCTGCTGATTCAGTGGAGCACCTCAAGAAATTATTATTTCCTAATTATAATTTTCCAAGAACCAGAGTCTCTTTATAGCCTCATGTCACTCCATGGTTTTCCTGGAAGATGCCTGACCATGGGCCCTCCTTTTGCCTGCACAGGAGTAGCTCTCCAACAGCTAGTCCTCATGAAAAGAAAACAGACCACTGTACAAGGAATTGTGAGAGGCAGAGCATTCCCAGCTGGCAGACACAAGTGCTGTTGTATGAGAGAGGGATCACTGGAGCACTGCTGCCAAAGGGTCACATCATGGAAACCTAGGGGTTTTATCTGTAAAAGGACAGAATCACACTGTCACTTTCCATCCAGTGGATCCATAAAACTCACAGAGTAGCCAGTTGGCTCTCAGTCTTGTCTGAAACTCTTCTCAGCTTTGGAAGATTCCTGACTACAGCAGTTATCGAGAGGCTCGGCTAGACCAGCAGAGACATTGCATGATTGGTTGGATAGCAAAGAGTTAGCGTGGTACAGCTAAAAAGTAAAGAAGATGCATGGTATGACTGGATAGTAAAGCAGTTGTAAGAATTAAAGGAGCCAATAACAGCACCAGAGTTGCAGCAGGGACTTTTGCATGGTGCTAATTTGCAGTACGTCTGGTGTTAGTCATTGCTTACCCCAGCAGGTACAAAGTGTTCCCATGAGGTTTATACATCTTACTGAGATGAAGGTTTAAGACCTGAAAGAGCTTCTAATGAATTCAGCATTTGTATAAGAGACAGAAATGTGAATATGAGGGGAAATTATTTTAATCAGCTCTATCTGTTAAAACTAGCTTATTCTCAGAGCCAATTTTTCAGAGCAGTCTGGAGCCCTTTCTAGAGTGCCTGGGTACTCCAGTGCTTCTGAAATGATGACAGTCTGACTTGCTTCAATATGTCCCAGCAGCAGTGTGAAGAGCAGACTATAACTGACAACTCATTTACATCCAAGTACCTCACAAGATCTTTTTCAAGCACTGATTAAATAAAAATCCCTTTTGTCCTGGAAGGCTCATACAGATGCAAAAACTCATAAACAGATCAAGATAACAATAGAGTTAGTTATCCCCAACCTGTCAGTACCTTGTGTTCCCCATTAGCAAAACTAAGGGTAAGGAGTCCGTCAAAGAGGAGCCCATCGAAGACAGGGTGACGATGGCTTGGCACCTGCTTACCTCCCTGAAATTAGTGGTTATGTGTGACAAAGGAGATCTGGCCAGAAGAAGGAAAAAAGTGGTCTGTATGAGGAATAAGCGTGCAGCAGGACCTCCCATTCAGGGCTCTTGCAGTACTTCCCCACTGTGATGCCCAGGGACAAGGGGTGCTGCTTTCTGGGTTTGGGGTCGTGAGAGCTGATGAGGAGCAATGGGCAGAGATTGATTATGAAGGTGGCCGTGGGTGTGGTTAAACTGGGGACAGTCACCAGCTGTTCTGCTGTAATACAGCTCTCAAATACTCGCTTGCATACAAAATCAGAGTAACTTCTCTGCCCTGAACTGCCATGCAATCTGTATTAGTGGATCTTTGAAAAGCAGTGAAGTCACAGCAATTCAAAGTGGCTATGTCGAGCACTGCAAAATCAGTTTTTCTCTTTTCTACTTCAGTCATGACATTCTCCCCCTCAGAAACTCCCAAAACTCTTTCAAACAGAAAAACTCACAACCATTTGCAAAAGGCCATATGTGATGGGAGTACAAAAGCAACTGCATTTCCTTGTAACCAAAATACCAATCCAAAAGTTTAGTTCTCTCAGTAGGTGTTGTATATTTGTGTAAGGGTGTCTTGCAGTATGTTTGGACAGCTGCTGTTATTAAAATTTTTTTGCCAAGAAAATTTAAAAAACCCACAATTTTCACAAATACATACGAGAATCTGAAAGTACTTGAATACAAAACTGAAATCTTGAGTTATTTTCAAAATATTTTAAAACTTTGAATAATGTATCCATTTTTACCCTATATATCTGCCTCAAAGTAATACAGACAGTAAATATATTAATAATATACAGTTTATGGTTTCATGCACATATATCCAAGAATGTTTTCTATCTTCGACATGACATTCAGTAATATAAATATATTAAAAAATTATAAAATCATAAATCATAATGGCAAAGACAGATGAAGAGTATATGCTGCCAAATTTGGCACAGGATGAGCTTAATTCTCTACTGCTAAACAGCAAGAGCTGATTTGGGACATATTCATGATTAAGAAAGATCTCTTCAAGACCTGTACCACTTCTGCAACATGAAGTGTAGACTTAATTCTGTTGGAAGCCCAGGGGCCTTTGAATGGGGATGGAGGCAGATAGTGCAGGAAAATATGCCCCTGGCACTTTTTTCCATTGTGTCACTCAAGTGATTCCCTAAGAGAACAACATTTATTCTTACATTTTCCAAATACGCATAATATTGTTCTTTCTGTTTTCTTTTCGAGTCTTTATGGCCAGTTACAGCTCCAGAATACAGGGCAGGGACCAGGAACAGGAGGAGGTGAGATTGAAGCTAGGGGCTTTTGAAAGCATATTGCTTTAATTCTTTGCACAGTGAAAAAGAGAAGGGATACCACCCTGGGTTTGTCTCTAGATTGCAATGGGTGAGGCCACCTGTCTTTGTGGATTTTTCTTCTGACTCCAAACTGAGTATTGTTTTGCAATACACTGTTGGGGTTTTTTTCCAGGTCCAACTATCGTCCAAGAATTCCCTCCCACGAGAGTGTAATGCAGAAGCTCAGAAGAAGCACACCCCCAAGCATAGTTTGAGATTTTTTAACCCTGCAGAGACTCAGGAGGGTGAAGGTTGCTACATACCATCCTGTACCATACATCCACTACTGGGATGCTATTCCCAGTCAGGAACATTGCAAGCACTTTTTTGATCATGTTAAAGCTGCTTTGGAGACCAACACTCTGTATGACACCTTTGCTAAAGAGTGTTATGTTCAAGCAGTCTGAACACAGGATCACATGCCATGCAGTCCATGCAGGGGACCTTTTCAGGTTCTGACAGTCATCTCCTATGTACACGTTGATCAAGTATTTGCAGTTTCCTGCAGTTTCGTCAGACATAGAATTGCATTTGTGGTGTGTTGCTGACAACTATTTGTCCTCTGTGGAGGGGATGAGATGTTTTGTTCAATCTCTTATGCAAAAAACACCATGAACAGGAGGATATATGGCTGAAATATGTTTCTTAAAGAATATAATCAAGCTGGTTTAGATATGAATCTGAGGAGAAACTTCTTTTGGCAGTAAGTATTCTACTTAATCTATAAATAGCTCTTTAGGTTGCCAAATACTCTTTGTAACTTATACCCCTGATTTGGCCTGAGCAAGAAACAAAATGTAGTCTTCAGAATGGAAGAGACTAAAATAAAGTGTCAGTGGAACTCACATGACCTTGGACTAAGATGGTGATTTCTGCTTTATGATCCACCAAACTAGTTTACCGTGTGGTCAAAATTTCATTAAACATTTCTGCAGTCCTGATGTGTACAGCAAACCATTCTTCTTCCAAGGGAAGTAGTTCATCCTTTGGAGATGTTTGTATTGCTATCACCATGGCAACCAGAAAAGATGAAAGTCAAAATACAAAGAAAAAAGCCAAAACTGTTAGCTGAAGTATGGATAGGCAGTGAGACTGTAAAATCATGCTTGGACTTTTAAAGGAAATTACTATTTTTTATTAAAAAAAGTAGCAGAATTACAGGTACTGTAGTCCAAAAATAGCGCTCCTGGCTTCACTAAGTACAATGGCTCTTATAAATCCCACTAGAAAAGATATCAAGAATGGAAGACTGTCCCTCTGACAGGAGGAAGAATCCCTGTCCCATCCCGCTTTTAAGGGGAATGTGTCCCACAGCAGACTGCTTCCAAGCAATACCACTTGCGGTCCCACTTTTGACATGGGTTTTATGAAACAGAGCTATGAACAGCTGCAGCACTCACTCTGCCTGATGCCTAAAGTAATAGAACAAACCCATAGAATTCCATAAAAATTACTTTCAGGGGAATGGATAAACCTATATTTTCTACAGAATATAAGTCTGGTTATTGAAAAGTATCTAGAAAAGCTACACATTTCCCACAGCTATATTCCTTTAAGGCATGGTTTGGCCTTAGATTTCAATTATGAGTCCCTGTCTAAAATTAAACTAAGTCTGGCTCAAAACATTGCCTCCTCACTTGTTCCTGAGTTCCACCACAGATGAGTCTGGCAGAAATGGTAATCTGAAGACAGTTTCAAATCCAGTTGCAAACCTCAGGGTAGACAAATATTACCTTTTTTAGCATCATGTTTGAGGGAAGATGATTTACTTAAATCAGTCTAAAATATTGCTTCATCTCATAAAGGGAAGACTGTGCAGGACAGGCTGCTTTACTATGAAACAGAAAATTCAGCGAGATTCTTCCAGGTCCTCCTCTTTACTTATTTGTCATAGACTAATAAAGAGAGGGGTTTTTTCCCTTGGAGAATTTAGGGATTAGATAAACAAAGCACAACGCCACTGAGTCAGATGGGGACTTGCTTGTTAAACATTAACAAGCACTCAGCCTTTTCAAGTGTCTGCTTACTGATACCTCTGACACAGGCTTCAGGGTTTGTTTTAGGAAGTTTTTTGCAAACTACATTAAGCAAGCCTGGCTGTGTGCAACCACTAGGGTCAGACTCCTGTAGCTCTCTCCTTCTGGTATATGGAAGGTGAGTTATTCATGGAAATGCAAAAAGGGTGTTTTTGTTTGTGTGGTTGGGGTTTTTTTTGGTTTTTTTTTTTTTGTTTCGTTTTGTTGTGGTTTTCTTGTTTTTGTTTTTTTTTTTGGTTTTTTTGGTGGTGGTGGTGGTGGGTTTTTTTCCTGAATGCATCCACCACAGTGGGCAGAAAGAGTCACCCAGGCTCCCACTTATCCAGTTTACGCTATATGGGGAAGCAACACAAACTATGTAACCTGATGGTGCCAGTATCCAATGCTGTGCCCAGCACACAGGATGTGCAAACCTACTGTAACTACAAGGTGGAGGTGTCCTGGTTTCAAATGCAAGGTGTTGACAAAGGGCTCAGATGCATTCAAACCTCCCACCGACTTTCTTTAGACCTAACACCTAAGGTCAGCTTCACCTACGTGCATGCACAGACCCAGTAACTGGTCACAGACAAAAGGCTTAATTTTAAATCAAACTCATGGCGCTTTTTGGATTACTCCCCAATGGACTGTTTCTCTGTGTGTCCTCCCACAGTATAGAAGCTTTGGTCTCCATGCATAACCCAAATTATGTCAGAATAGCCAAAGGCCTAATGGGAGCGCAAATGAGGCAAAAGTCACTATATTTGCATTTATTTTCATTAGTTCTCAGATTTACAGGACACCCAGCAAAATGTAATTTGATAGTAAACCCGGTTAGTTACAGTATCCAAGCAGAGTGAAAATCCCCTCAAACTGGATGAAACTTGATGCTGCCAGCATACTGCTGAATCCCCTCCAGTGTATTTCCAAATCACATTCCTCCTTTACTCTGCTGATCACTGCCCAAAGAATCAACAGTAAATCAAGTAGGCTGCAATATACTTCTTTTTTATATGGCATCTATAAATTTCATGGAACTATGGATTTCTTCTTATGAAATTTAATTTGAGTCACTTGGGGAAACATTTCCATATTGAAGGGAGCTCCTGGCTTTCATTGTACTTATACTTTGCTCTTACTGAATTGCTCATGCTGTGATTTAAAGGGACAACAGTCAAGGTAAGGCATGCCTGCACAAAAGCAATTGGGTCCATTTCCATTTGGCAGATAAAAAACAGACAGCTGCTGAGCTGAGCAATCTCATCTCCGCCAGCCACTTGAGAATGGGCACAGTGAACACAGGCTTGTGAGTGATGCTTGTGAGTGATGTTTTATTGCCTCCAAGATTGTTGTGTCATGGGAAGGACAAGGCAAGAGCTTGGCCATCATTTCCAGAAGGCTGACTCATGGAGAGAGCTGCTGCCAACCTCTCTTCATCCCAAGTAGCACCAGTACTAACCTCTGCATTCCCATCCCTGGCTCCTGTGAATAGGGCTTTTGGAAAATGTGTGGGTCTGAATAAAATAACAGGTGCACAGTGTAAACTGTGTAGGACCTTCACAGCAACAAAACCAATCAGAAACAGCTTTTTTAATTGTTATTTTTAAATAATACCATTCCATATCATAGAATCATAGAATCATAGAATAGATTGGGTTGGAAAAGACCTCCAAGATCATCAAGTCCAACCCCTGATCCAACTCCAATTACTATATCATGGCACTAAGGGCCACATCCAATCTCTGCTTAAAAACCTCCAGGGATGGTGAATCCACCACCTCTCTGGGTAGGCCATGGTAGGCCTGATTACCCTCTCTGTAAAGAATTTCTTCCTAACACCTAACCTAAACCTCCCCTGGCAGAGCTTGAGCCCATGTCCCCTTGTCCTGTTGTTGGTTGCCTGGGAGAAGAGACCAACCCCCACCTGGCTATAACCTCCCTTCAGGTAGTTGAAGAGAGTGATGAGGTCACCTCTAAGCCTTCTCTTCTCCAGACTAAACAACCCCAGCTCCCTCAGCCTCTCCTCAT